CATTTTGGGGCACCTGGGTGGCTCAGTCTGTTAAGCATCCAACTCTTGGTTTTGGCTCAGGTCAGGATCTCATGGGTTATGAGATCAAGTCCCATGGGTTCCTCGCTCAGAGGGGAGTCGGCTTAAAGAGTCTCTCCTGCTGCCCTTCCCCCCAGTAAATAAATCTTTACAAAAAATGGATAGATATTTTCATCCATTCTGTTACTGTTTTTTTTTTTTATCTTTCATCATAGAGAAGCCTTCAACTGTTACAAGGTTAAGTTTATTGCTCTCACCCTTTACTCAGGCTTATAGGTCTTGTGTCTTTTTTAGGAAGGCCTTCCCCCACTTTAAACTTAGAAAATATTCTTCGGTATTTTCTTTGGGTTTTGTTTGGTTTAATGTGTTTGTATAGATCTCTAACACATCTGGACTTTATTTTGTAGTGTGAGATGAGTCTAACTTTTTTTTTCCCCGAATGGAAATTGTCCCAAGGCCATTGACTAAATTTCCCCGCTAATTTGGAATGGGGTGTGAACCTATTCATGGATTTTGGTACCTAGTAGGGACTGCTTTCTTAAAAAGGACAGGCTCGTTTATACAGACTGACATTGGCAATGTGTATCTGCCCCAGTTTCACTGCAACTTTGTGAGTATTGGCATGATTGTTTTATTGATTGCAAGCAAACTTAATTTTTTGTTTAAATTGGTACATAGTTATTGTCATTTCTCAATGGCACAGGGATAGTATATAGAGAACTTTATTGAATAGACTCAATGCCAAAACAGCTGTTACTGAAGGAAGCCTTAGAAATGAATGGAAATCTGAAGATGAATGGCTTCCACCCCACCCTCCATCTTCTTCCACTGCCTGTCCTTTGCCTCTCATAGGACCTTCTGCAAGAGAGCCCGTCCTCATTACTGCCAGGGTGACCACAGAAAGGACCCCAGGAACCTGCCTGTATTTTAGTGCTGCTCCAGGAATCCTGCCCTCCAGCCAGCCACCCCTCTCCTGCTCAGAGGAGGGAGCAGGAAATGCCACCTTGAGTCCTGAGATGGCTGAGGAGTGTATCAGGGTCTGGAGCCACGAAGGCCTTGTGCTCACCAAGTTGCTCACCTCGGTAAGAGCCTCAGGTTGTTGGGGTTTCATAGTCTATAATTCTGCCTCAGAGGCTGTGTGACCTTGAGCAAGCATCTGAGCTTCTCTGAGCCTCAGCTTCCTCATCTGTAAAATGGAAAACATGATACTATCTCCTGATGCCAACAAATAAAGATGAATGAGAATGAATGTCAGGTGCCCAGTACAACGCCTGCTACATAATAGAGATTGGGTGAGTGACAGCTATTACTATTAATGATTGTCTTTACACAGAATAAAATATGATCTCCACCTTAAAGGAATGTAGAAGCTGTAAGAAGAGGCAGAATGGGCTAATCGCTATCATAGAGATGTGAACAAAGTGTTATTCAAACATGGAGTAAGGAGCAATTAACCCTAACTTGAACACTTATGGAGAGTGCTTCGCAGAGAAGGTGGCGTTTAAGAAAGAGAACTGTGTACAGTAGTTTATAATGTACAAAGTGCTTTCAGGTTCATTATCTCATCTGACCTTAAAATAGCCTTTTGAGGTAGCTGTTATTATCCCATTTTACAGATGAGGAAACAGGCTTAGAGAGAGGGAGTGAATTGCCCAAGGCCACACAACTGGATAAGTGGCAGACCCAGGATTTCAACCTATGCCTTCTGACTGCAGTCCCAGGCTTTGTCTGCCCTTTCAGGGTGACCCTTGAAGAGGAGGAAGATGTGGGCTGAGAATGCGATAGAGGGGGTTCAGGAAAGGGGAAACACATTCCAGGCAAAAGGACCAGCACGAGCACAGGCCTGGAGATTGAAGTGTTCAGCCTTCGAGGGCGCTTCATGAGGAGGGGCTTAGGAATGACTGAGGGGGAGAGGCAGGGGCCTGATTGTGAGGCACCGCGACTTGAGGCTAAAACACTGCGACTTGATACTGCAGGCCATGGGGGCCATTGGTGCTGGGTGAGAGAGACTGAGTAGAGGAGACAGACCAGTTAGAGGTTAGAGTTAGGAGGCTGCTATGTGCTTTTCTCTCACATTTGCAAAGACCTGGCAAGGAGCATCACCTGGGAGCCTAGAATCAGAGAAAATACGGTTTCCAGATCGGGCCCTGCTTGAGCACATTTAAAATGTGGGCAGTAGTGAATTTCCTATCTAATGGAGACATTATGGGGGTTCACTTCAATGGTTGGGCAAGAAAGCAGTTCATAGACCATTGAGACAATTAGCTTGTATAGAAATTACATTTTCCCTTTGGTTGCTCACTGGATGTAGAGAGCCCTCTCCCCTCATGGGGGCTTCTCTCTATAGCTCTTGGCCCCGGGGATAAGATGTCTTCCCAGAGGAAGATTCTCCACCCTCCTTCCCTCTCATTCATTCCTCCTTCCCTCCCTTTGGCCATCCTTAGGAGGAGCTGGCTCTGTGTGGCTCCAGACTGCTTGTTTTGGGCTCCTTCCTGCTTCTCTTCTGTGGCCTTCTCTGCTGTCTCACTGCTGTGTGCTTCCACCCACGCCGGGAGTCCCACTGGTCTAGAACCCGGCTCTGAGGGCACTGGCCTAGTTCCCATCTTGTTCTCAGGTAAGGTTCTTCGCCCCAGTCCTGTGGGAGTAGGGGGTGGGGTGGAGATGGCAATTATAACTGAGATAGAGTCATTCCTAAACAATATGGTTTGGTTTTACGTATTTTTACACTTTATGTAGATGGAATTGTACATATTCTTGTGTGACTGACTTCTTGCGGTTAACATTCTGATTTTAAGATTCATCCATAGCTGTAGTTCACATCCAAGCTTTTTGGCAACAGTGGTGAGTTAACAGGGTTCACATTTGATGATGCATCCTGGATATGAATTATGTTTGCCTTGCTTTTGTCCTGAAATTCTGATACCCAGTTTTATGATGCAAATTTTGTAAAACTCACCTTGAACAGCACAAAAGGATTGATGATGCGCATTTACTAGGCACATAGTATATGCCCAAGCATTTTACATACACTTTCTCTTTTCCATCAGCCTTCATTGCATTTAGAAAAAGTTGATTTTGCTAACAGGATCTTTGGAGGAACACACCTCACAAAGGTGGCAGTGGGCGGGGAACATATTGGCTAACGAGTCCATGTGTCCGCTCATTAAGGAAAAAGATATTTCTGTAAAAAAGTCTCACTCTGTGAGGTGGAGGTCATATAATTTGAGAGTTATCTGTTGTGCACCCAGCTCTTAAACTGTTCTCAGCTTCAGTGACTAGCTGCTGTACCCTAGGAGATAGCCATGGCAGAAGTGGAAACAGACCAAGCCCAGGGAAGGGCTCTGGCCAGAGGAACTGGATGCTCAAGATCAACTTTGCTTATTTTGCTCAGGGCTAGGCTCCACCTACTTGGGATAGGAGATGGTGGGACCCTCCTAGCTTTTCTTAGATCTGAGTGGACTGGGAAATGAAGGCTTTCTGGCTCCTAGCAGATCCTGGGGTCCTGAAGCCACCCACCCAGTTGGGATGAGTGCTTGTACCCACTTCCTCTGCTCCTTCCTCATTCTTTGCAGCCATCCCAGAGCTTCCCCCAACAGTCCTCTGATCTGCCCTGTTTTTTTGTTTTTTAATTTTATTTATTTGAGAGAGTGAGTGAGAGAGCATGAGCAGGGGGAGGAGCAGAGGCAGAGGGAGAAGCAGACTCCCCGCTGAGCAGGGAGCCTGACAACGTGGGGCTCGATCCCCGCACTCCAGGATCATGACCTGAGCTGAAGGCAGACATTTAACGGACTGAGGCACCCAAGCGCCCCTCTGCCCTTGTGGTTTTTTTTTTTTTTTTAAAGATTTTATTTATTTGAGAGAATGAGAGAAAGAGAGGGCACATGAGAGGGGGGAGGGTCAGAGGGAGAAGCAGACTGCCTGCTGAGCAGGGAGCCTGATGCGGGACTCGATCCCATGACTCCAGGATCATGACCTGAGCCAAAGGCAGTCGCTTAACCAACTGAGCCACCCAGGCACCCTCTGCCCTTGTTTTTAATCTTCTTTTTCTCCAGGTGTGAATCAACTTCTCCAGACTTTGTTCTAAGTTGGAAGAAATGTTACAAAAAATGGAGAGCTGGAATGTGGGGGAAAATAAAAGGCTTTTTTGCCCAGTGTTGCCCAGGATGTTTATTGGGGATTGGGTTGAGGTGGGAATTTCAGGGTAGACAGGTTTGGGGGACTTTTCCTTGTTGACTCTTCAGTTTGGGATACAGGCTGGCATAGGGTGTGGATTACTGCAGCTCTATCCTCTATTGTGACTTGCCTTTGGAAAACACCTGGTTTTGATCGCAGCTCTGCCACCTTATGTCTTGTTTTTTTCTATGAAAGAAAATCGATAGTTCCAACTAGTTGAGAGAACCATGGGGATGCTTTGACATAAATGCTGTGTGACCTTGTGCAGGTCATGCAATTGTGAACGGCTTGCTTCCTGAAGGGATTTGACAGATTGAGTTTTCCCAGCAAAGATTCCTCGAACTTGGGAGCCCACGCCCTGGCTGTGTAGTTACTAACCAGAGCAATCCATTTTCCCGCCTTTTCTGCGCCCAGCAAGTCTCCTTCCCTTGCCCCTCCCAACCGCTACCTTATACGCAGGCGCAGATCCCGGCTTCTTCTTTCCTTCCACTCGCGCCCCCTCAAAGCTTCCCCTAGCAACAAGCTCGGGCTCAGCGCTAAGGCGGGGCGAGCGCATGCGCTGCAGCCCTCTCCACGGCCAGTTGTCGGACTGCGTGCTGAGCTCCTCCCCCTCCAAGCCTAGCCCTTCTCCCCGCCTCCTCCCATCGAGGGTCCGCGTGGCGGAGCGCGCGCGCACTCTGACTCGGTGGCTGCCCATCTCCCTGGCCCCAGCAGTGAGGATAGAGGGGCGGGGCTATTTCATTTGAGGTTCCGCCCCCTTTGGCCCGGCGTCCCTACCGCGCCTGCGCGCTCCCGCCCGGTCTCCATCTTGGAATTGGGAGGAAGAGGGAGAGGGAGACCGGGACGAGACCGGGGCCGTGGTGCGGAGAGAGGCTGAGACTGAGAAGAGGAGAGGGAGAGAAGGCGCGGGGACCGTCCTTAGCTACAATCTGTCAGCTACCCCCAGGAGAGAGAAGGGAGAAGGGAGGAGGCCGGGGCGGGAGTGAGGGCTGTCACCCTCGGACCCCGGCGTGAGAGGGGCCGTGCGGCCGGACGTCCTCGGGGTGGGCCCCCTGTCGGTGGCCGAAGACCTGGGGCTCAGGCCCTTCGGTCGCGAATTTCCGGGCTTGACCCCTCGCTTCTCAAATATCCGGGTATCAGCCCCTCAGACCCAACATATCCAGGACTCGGGTCCCAACCTCTCTAAACCTGGGGCTCTGTTTCATAGGATTTCAAAAATCTGGGGTTCAGGCCCCTGCGTGCACCAGTATCCGGGGTTCATTCCCCGCGCGTTCAGATATCAAATTCAGCCTCCCTTCGTTCAAATATCTGGGGTTCAGACCCCACAACCAGAAATCCGGGATTCAGCAACTGTCGCCCTCGAGGAGGAGGAGGACTGGACCGCGAGGTCAGATCAGGTTGTCACCCCCTCCCCTCCAGGGGAGGCTTCCCGGGCCCGCCCCTCAGGAAGGGCGAAAGCCGAGGAAGAGGTGGCAAGGGGAAAGGTCTCCTTGCCCCTCTCCCTGCTTGGCAGAGCCGCTGGAGGACCCCAGGAGGAGGCGGAAGCGCTGGGGCACCATAGTGACCCCTACCAGGTGAGACACGGGGTGCAGGGGCGCGGGTCCCTGTATCTAGCATTGAGAAGAAAGGGTGCTCCTTTTTGAGGAACTGGGCCTGGGTAGGCCCTCTCCTCAGGATGAAGCCCAGTGGGCCAGTGGTCAGCCTCTGGCTAGCCGTGCCTTTTGCTGCCACCTTGTTCCTCTTGCTTCATTATGTCTGTCTGATGGGGGAACATCAGGTGACAGGGTCTTTGATGTCATGGGGGTCACGCCCTAGGGTGCTTGAGCTAATCAGATGGGTTTGCACTCTTCTGGTCTTCTCCCATGTTCACTTTGCCCCTCACAGTTACCTGTTCTCCGTGATTATACCCCTTTCTCTGGATTGCTTTGGGTGTTGATTCCCTTGCCTTTGATCTCCATGGTGGGTCCACTTATCTGTTTTTTAGGCATGGTCTGGTTGGATTTCTTGTCCTTTCAAGGAAGTGTGTGTGTGCATTTGTGTTAGGGAATGCCTGGCAATATTTTCTCCCAGCTATATCATTACCATCCAACCTCTTGCAGATGGTGTAATCTCATACGTTTGTCAAGCGATCTGTCATTTACAAAGTGCTTTACATCTGTTCTCTCATGTGACACCTCCCCCTCCATTCACCCTGTGGCGGCCTCTTTTGTTGCTGTCTTCCCATTTTACAGTTGAGAATATTGAGGCCCAGAGAGGTTGCCCAAGGTCACACAGTGGCAGAATCAGGATCTGAACCTAAGTTCTTGATCAAGTTTTGCCCCTGCTCCATACCTGTTTCTTGGCATCTCTTCTTGGCCAGGAATCCAGAGGAGAATGAGTTGGGGTGAGATTTAAGAATGAGGGGGAGAAGAGCTTCCTTTTTAGGAGGGCTATACTCAGAAGCTTTTCCTGATGGGAGGCTCTGGCTCCTGTCTTCTGTCTCGTGGATTTTTCTCTCTACTGTGACCTTCATCTTTACCCTGATTCCATTCTTTGGCCTGGGTTCCTGAGAGGGCTCTCTCTTTTGACAAATGATAGCCATAGTGGTGTCTCTTCACAGTTAAAGCCAAGCTGCTGGGGTAGGATGATCTCCAAAGTATTAAATCCTTGTGGTGACCCTGGAGGCAGGGAAGGAAAAATCCATATGCTAAGTGTCTGCCTAGTGTTCCTAGGTTTGAGATCTCATTAAAAATCTCTCAACAGCCCTATGCTGTAATCCATTTTACCAAAGAGAAGACCAAGTATAAGAAACTTACTCAAAACCCTGTGGTGTGTTGCTGATGAGATGTACTGGTAGTGTAGCTTAGGGACAGACTTGGGTTTCCTCATCTGCAGAATGGTGATAACATTGTCCATTTTAGAAAGTGGCTGTGATTTAGCACAGACCTTGGTAATTGCTCAAATATTCATTATTTGAGGAAGAGGCCCTGCGTGATGTTTTTTGGCATCCCTTATGTGTGGCTTGGGGTCCTGGGTTGGCATTCTGGGCTGGGTGCTGGTAAAGAGGTCAAGAAGATTGCTTTGGCAAGTTGTGAGCACCTGCCTTTGTGTGTGGGTGTGTGGTGGGGGTGAGGGGTGTGTGGTGGGGGTGAGGGGTGCTTGGCAGGGTTGCTGGCAGGAGAATGGAGAAAGGGGCCTGTTTTGAGCAGCTTGGGAGCTGCTGGAGGGCTTGGCTGAAGGCAGTCTATCAATCTCCCAGGCTGTTCTGAGCCCTCTGCACCCTGGGGGCCCACGCGAGAGTCAGGCTTACTTCTTGCCCTCCAGCTTCCAGTTGGGCTAAGGAGACAAAATTAACAACACAACAGGAAACAATGCACGACAGAATATAATCACATGCTAAATTGTTAGGTGCTTTAAAGGAGCTAGAACTCTGTCTGCCCTGGGAGTCCAACTCTGCTGAAGGCTCTTTTGTGCCTGAATTCCAACAAGTGCTTAGCCAGGAGCCTGGCCTGGAATTCCCTGGGGGAAAGGGGCGGGGTCCTTGGCTTCCTTGTACTGCAGGAGCTTGCTCTGGGTTTTGGGCTGGGTGCTCTAGGAGCTCCCCCCAAAGGCTAGAGTGGTCAAGGGAGGCTTCCCGCAGGAGAGGGATGAGCTTGAGGTGAGTTGCTAAGACAGTAATAAGCACATTGGCCTGACTGGAGAGAAGATCCTGTTCTCTGACCTTGGAGAAATCCTCCTTCCTTTCTATGCCTCAGTCACCTCATCTGTGAAATGGTGATCACTATCTTGCCCTGCTTATTTCATGCCTAGCATAGGGGACCAGCTTTCAGCAAGACTTAACCTTTTCTGAGCTTGTTTCCTCATCTGCAAGATAAGGGTAATAGTAAATCCTCATAAAGTTGTGGTAAGGATTGAACGAGAGAGATGCATGTAAGGTGCTTACTTTACATGCTCAATAAATGTTATTTGTACACTACAAATGTCCTGTACCTGTGCATGATGCATATGCAGTTGGACTAGACAAGTAAGGCGGCCCAAGTCATAGAGAGGCCCCAAAAGCCAGATGCCGTTTCTATCCCTGTCCTTCCCGTTCTGCATCTCCTCCCTACCACAGTGTCTCTAGCCCTTTTTGAGAGCAAGTCCTCTGGCCCTTCTGGGCCAGTACCCACTTCTAACAATGGCCGGATTTCCACTGCCTCCGGCCTGGCTGTTTCCTGCTCTCTTCCAGGGTGTGAGAGGTTGAGGGAGGAGGGGGCCTCAACGCCAAGGGGAACAGGAAGGTGCCTGGAAATATTTGGGGTATGGGACTTGTGGGACAGGACACTTGGGAATCTGGGGTTCTGGCTGGGAGGCGGGATCTTTTATTCTTGAGGGGAGAAGTAAGGGTTGTAGCAAAATGGATTTATTGAGGGCTGGGGGTGGTGAGGATGCTTAGCTCTCAGTCTTCCTAACAGTTTTAGGGACTCCAGGGACCCGGCCCCCGTGCTCTGGTTGCCAGGGCAACTTCATTTTTTTGGAGCTTTGATGTTGTTCCTAATCTCCCCCTTGCCCTTCCTCTGCGGTGCCTCCCCCTCATCAGGGAACTAGGGGAGGAGAAGACAGAAACTTGAGAGCCCCCTTCCTCTCTCTGAGTGTCCCATCTTTGCTCTAAGGGTCTGCTCTTCACTCTCCAGGTCAGGCCCCACTCTCAGGGCCCCCAGGGGCCATCATGCCAGCTGGGGGCCGGGCCGGGAGCCTGAAGGACCCCGATGTGGCTGAGCTGTTCTTCAAGGATGACCCTGAAAAGCTCTTCTCTGATCTCCGGGAAATTGGCCATGGCAGCTTTGGAGCCGTGTACTTTGTGAGTTGGGACTTAGGAGAATGGGGTAGGGATGGGCACTGCATTCTTCTTGCTGTGGGTCCACAGCCCTCTACGCTACTGTACCACACCAGCCTTTCCTGCCCTCTCCTGTTGGGCCAGCAAGTCTTCCCGCTGCCCAGTTCTTACCAGGGGCCTTCACTACCTTCTGGTCTGGTCTTCTAGGCCCGAGATGTCCGGAATAGTGAGGTGGTGGCCATCAAGAAGATGTCCTACAGTGGGAAGCAGTCAAATGAGGTGGGTCAAGTTTGACAAGACTGGTGGGGGGCAGGGCAGGGGACCCAAGTCTCGATGTGTAGGATGAGTAAGCCTCTCCTCCCTTGACCTCCTCTCAGAAGTGGCAGGATATCATCAAGGAGGTGCGGTTCCTGCAGAAGCTCCGGCACCCCAATACCATTCAGTACCGGGGCTGTTACCTGAGGGAGCACACGGCTTGGGTGAGCTAGCCCCCTGACTCTGGCCTGATCTTTGCCCCCCATCCTTGTCCTGGTCTAGTCTCTTAGGTGGGCCCTGTTCCAGGTGCCATTATAGGGACCTCGGAAAGGAGGAAGTGTCCCCCAACTTCTTTAGTCCTCAGACAAACCCATGAACAGCAATGTCTGTCCAGAAGGAGAGGCTGGTTTGAAGATTGGCATAAACTGTTAGTAGTTGGAAAGGGGCACGTAGACTGGAGGAAATGGAGATAGAATGGGGCTTTGAAGGGATTCAGATGGGAGTGGTGATATCTTGGGCTGTTTCTAGAGGAGGCCCTGGCTCTAAGGGACTCTCCCATGACCATGTCGTTTTCTCAGTTGTCTTTCCTCTCTATCTTTACCCCCCGGGGGCAATGCCTGAGTGGAGGATAGGCAGAGAAACTCTCTGGATCGCTGTCCAAGGGAGATGGGGCAGGGGTGGCCAGATATGCTTATCTCTGACCCTTTATCCTTTCTTAGCTGGTGATGGAGTATTGCCTGGGCTCAGCTTCTGACCTTCTAGAAGGTAAGTGGCTCTGGCCGACAAGTGGGAGAAGGGAGAAGGGCAAAGAAGCTGTAGGGGAAGGGATCAGGGGAGCTTGTTCCAGCCCCACCCTTGGGCTCCCTTCAGTTCGATGTTTTTCCCTCACTCCCCAGTGCACAAGAAGCCCCTTCAGGAGGTGGAGATTGCAGCTGTGACCCACGGGGCCCTTCAGGGCCTGGCTTATCTGCACTCCCACAACATGATCCATAGGTACAAGCTGCACTGACAATGGCTGGGAGGGGGTGCACTCTACACCACTTCTCATTCAGCTGGTCTACAGCCCTCTTGGAAACTTGGTGCTAAAGCCCCTGCCCAGCCTTCCTGAGATGCATGCCTTATCCCTGTGCTCTGTCTCTGGCAGGGATGTGAAGGCTGGAAACATCTTGCTATCAGAGCCAGGCTTGGTGAAGCTGGGGGACTTCGGCTCTGCATCTATCATGGCACCCGCCAACTCCTTTGTGGGCACCCCATACTGGTGAGTGGGGGTAGTGGTGAGTGGAGAGAGTCCCCAGGATGTTGGGAGCAGGAGTTGGCAGAGTCTGGGTGAGTGATCAGCCTCTTTCTCCTGACCTTTCTCCCAGGATGGCTCCGGAGGTGATCCTGGCAATGGATGAGGGGCAGTACGATGGCAAGGTGGATGTCTGGTCCTTGGGGATAACCTGCATTGAGCTGGGTAAGGACGACATCCTCTGTTCCTTCGTCCTTTTTTCTTTCCACTCCTTTCTCTTTCTCTTACCATCCCCATACCATCTCATCCTCAGGTTTTCAAGCTCCTGTCCATTTTGACTCTACCCTTGATCCCCTATTCAGGTAGCTGTCAAATCCTGCCAGCTCTTAGACCTGAAGATTTCAGAGCATTCTTCCCTTCCTGTCCACTACTCTAGTTCTACATCTTTTTTTTTTTTTTTTAAGATTTGATTTAATTTATCTGACAGAGAGCACAAGCAAAGGGGGAGCGGCAGGGAGAGGGAGAAGCAGACTCCACCCTGAGCAGAGAGCCCGATGCGGGGCTCGATCCCAGGATCCTGGGATCATGACCTGAGCCAAAGGCAGATGCTTAACCTACTGAGCCACACAGGCACCCACATCTTTTTTGAATGCCCACTGTGTGCCATGCTATCCTAGCAGGTTCTGGGAGTATAGCAGTGAATGAGGTTTTTGCCTTCATGGAACTTATATTCTAGCTGGGGAAACAGGCATGTTTTCTCTCAGTGTGATAGAAGCTGAAAGGAGAAGTTACAGGAACAGTACAACCATAAAACAAGGGACTTGACCTAGTTCAGGGGCTGAGGCTTAGATAGGTTCTGTCTAAGCAGAGCCATAAGACAAATAGTAGCTGTGTGAAGACTGTAGGGAAGAGCATTCCAGATAGGTAAGAGCAGGCATGAGTTGCTGAGACTAGCTTCAGTTGTTTGGAATATTGCAGGTAATGCCATGTAAAAAGCAGTGAGAGTTAGGCTCAAGTGAGTTCATCAGGCCTTGAAGCCCTGTCAAGGTTCTCATCTCTGCCAGCTTACGCTACTGAAACAACAGTTTGTGAGGTCACGTTTGTAAAGCCTTCAACAAGGTGCCAGGCACAGCTAGTTGCCCAAGAAAGAGATGCCCTTAGCTTCTCTTATCAATGACTTCCTGCAGTGATCTTTCCTACCAATAGTCTCTTCTTCCCTCCAGTCTCTCTCATGTCAGAGAGATCCTCCCTAGCTGGGTGCTGTTGCTTCGCTCCCCTCCGCAAAGCCGTTAATGCTCCCCATTGCCTTCAAGAGTGACGCCATCCCCACCCTTCCTTCCACCAAGCTAAAGATTCCACTTCCTGAAGGTTGGCTCTCCCCTTCAAGAGCTCCACGCCCTGAGTGTGCCATGAACTTTTCCACTTTCTTGCCTTGGTTTGTATTGTCTTCTGCCCACAGTCCGAGATTTGGACATCCATCCATCCACACATCCGTCTCCACATGTCTGCATTTGTCATTTGAGGACACAGCCGGACAGGTGATGCAAATATGTGAAACAGGCCAGGTATAAGAAGAATGGAGAGCTGTCCTTTTTATTTCTAGTTTTTGGTAGAGACATGAGTGGAGAGAAATATTTCTCTACTATTGAAGAAACAATCAGTTCTGATTATAAATGGCAGCTGATAGTCTGTATCAGAGAAGCAATGTGGAGAAGGCCCTGGCAAACTGGAGATTGCTCTTTCTTAGCTCTAACCCATCATTATGCAGGAATGTCAGCTCCTTTTCACCAGATCTAATTTTTTAGGAGAAAGTAAAAATTTAGATGATGATGATGATGATGGTTATTAAATTGTTAGGTTGGAGGCACTCCTGGGTGGCTCAGTTGTTAAGCGTCTGCCTTCGGGTCAGGTCATGATCCCCAGGTCCTGGGATCGAGCCCCGCATCGGGCTCCCCAGTCAGCCAGAAGCCTGCTTCTCCCTCTCCCACTCCCCCTGCTTGTGTTCCTGCTCTCACTGTCTCTCTTTCTCTCTGTCAAAATAAATAAATAAATTTTTTTAAAAAAAATTGTTAGGTTGGGGCGCCTGGGTGGCTCAGTCGTTAAGCGTCTGCCTTCGGCTCAGGTCATGATCCCAGGATCCTGGGATCG